CAATAAATGAATAAATAAATATTTCCAGATATGACTTTGATTGGCGGGACAGCAATCGAGGACAAACTCCAAGATGGCGTGCCAGAGGCAATAGCCCGATTAGCTGAAGCAAATATCAAAATCTGGGTACTCACTGGCGATAAGACGGTTAGTACGACCCCAAGGAGTGTGTGGATTCGCTTTTAGTTCATTCTAGAAAGTTCCATTGTATTCCAGGAGACCGCAATCAACATCGCCTATTCGTGCCGTCTTTTGACAGACGACATGAAGGAGATCGTCGTCATCGATGGCCAGACTCAATCCGAGGTGGAAGTCCAGCTGAAAGACACCAAGAACACCTTCGATCGTATTATGAACCACGCGGTTGGTATGCTCACTTCAACCAGGCTCACCCTCTTCCCTTCTTTCCCATTCTTTCCCCTTCTCCTTCTCTCTTATCTCCTAAATGTCCCCTTTTTCGGTTAGCGACGACCGCGTCAATACCTAAGGGATAGGACCGTAGATGAGTACATACGAAACATTATCGCTGTACTTGAGGAAGGCGAAACGGTACTGCTGTAACTCTCCATTAACATCTAATTCTCAGTTTACTAACAGCATCGATCTGTTGCTTCTCTTTAGTGGTTGCTTACCCTAACAGAGCTTGCATTTGGGGTTATCTGGCGCTGTTTGGAAAGAACCGACAAGATGTTATGTCGGGTCCCTCCAAATAATCTTTCATTTCTGCTTTGATGAATTGAGCCTTCACTAGCAGCACGACTCTTTGCAGCAGAATGGCATGCTGGAGGCAGAGAAGCCCCGTTTTGAGATTGAAACCATTCACGGAGATGGCCAGGCCTCCACGATGACCTATGGAGGTGAGTTCGTTAGAAATGAGAGTGCCATGAACTCATTTGATGAGGATGGTCTTTCAGTAGCAAACGCTTATGACTCGTCCCCATCAGCGAAAGGAGGTGACGGCGGAGTGGCTTTGGTGATCAATGGCGATTCGCTTGCTTTCGCTCTGGACGAACGTCTTGAACGACTCTTCCTCGAGATCGCAACCATGTGTGTGGTGAGTGCTCTAAGTCTTGTCCCGGAAAAATCAGGCAGATGGTAGGAGGACTGCTCATTTGCTCACAGGACTCCTATCAAACTCCCTGCAGACACGAGATTTGTGTTAGGAAAACAAACAAGATATAGTACCTCGAAAATCACGCGCGAAATTAAATGTCAACTCCACGAGTGCACCCAATTTGGCACCGGGTTGGGTTTCTAAGCTCCGGGGTGAAGCCAGGAAGCGAGAGCGACTTTATATTACTTCGCTCTCGTACCCAGGGACTCCCTATCCGAAAACTGGTGCGGTTGTAAGCGTTTGTTGCTCCTATGCGCTGGGTTCCACGCCCACTTCGGGTACTGTCGCCTGTTATCACAGACTTAATATGTAGTTCTTTAGACAGGGTAAGCGCTCCTACCCTTGAGCGTCACCTAATTACTCACTTGTAAGAGCAGAAACATCTTTGTGGGCTTTCCGAGCCTCAGCAACTAGGGGCATTCACGCGCCTCCCCAATCTGGAACCGTTACCTGAGCCGGCAACAGAATTCCGTCCAGGTCAAGCAAGTCTTCCGTCTTTTTCAATGTCAAGTGTGCGGTGCATCCTGAAATACATCTGCAATGAAAGCCACAACGTTATTGTTTGCGAAAGAGGTGACATAGGGATGTAAAGCAAAAGCGAACCGTTACCGCGAGCCGGCAGCAGAATTCCGTCCAGGTCAAGCTAGTCTTCCGTCTTTTTCAGAGTTTACCGACGCCTTCTTCGGATGTCGTAACTCTTCGTACAAAGATGAAGGCTGTACTAGTTTTGCAGCTAAAAAATACAAGAAGAAAGCATCGCTCGCTCATGAAGAGCGCCTGCCAAAGCATCGAGACGTGCAGAGAACTATGGCAAGAAAAGGAGATTTTTCAAAGGGAGGGACTCCGGGGCGGGTGAGCCACTTATCATACGTGAAAAGCTGGAATGTGCGAAGTCACAATGACCATGGAGTGCCACGCGGACGAGAGAGAGAGAGAGAGAGAGAGCAGAGCAGAGAAAAACACAAAAT